CCTTTGAATCTGTGAACCTTGAATAAAACCACGCCTGGGGGCAATATAAAGTCCCGTCACTAGAGGGCGTCCTGATAAAAGAAACTAAACGATAGTACCCAAAGCTGACAGTGGAAAACGCTTCTCTTGCTCTGAGTGGAAATTATAATTACACATGAAGTAGAAGACAATGCTTATACCAAGATGCTACAATGTGGCTGTGTGTATTATTATTATGTATTAATCATCAGTGGTGTGTAAGGTAACAAAATACATTTACTCAAGAACTTTACTTAAGTACAATTTTTAAATACATATAATTTACTTGAGTATTTGAATTTGTTGCTACTTTTCCTCCACTACACTCATGTTGTGCCTTTAGTTACTTAGCAGATTCAGAGTAATGATAAACAATGTAATCAACACTTAAATAAGGCTTTAGTTACACCTGGATTAAGTTCACGTGCTATCAAGCAGTAGGCTACATTAAAGGAAACCTATCATGCTATATTTAAATGATATATTGTAGGGCCATACCTATATAAGGTATATTTATACGTTTCTGTTTTCAAAATACCAAACAGATCATGCATTTTAGCCATGCCTCATTTCGCTCTATGTGCTGTTTGCTGTCTACGGGTCTGATTCTGCTGACCACGCCCCCCTGCAGGAGAGGAGAGACGTGCTCTGATCAGCTGCTGGGCTGTCAGAAGAGGGGGAGAAAAAGAGATCTCCGTGTTTTATTATATAGAGTCGTTATTCATTTGTTTTAAAGCTCAATAAATAACAAAGAAGACCTTTGACCGGCACTTTTCTAATTTTGTCCGGAAGATTTAAACTTTAACGGACATCTTGACCGGCGAAACAAACTGAAACTGAAACTCTGCCGCACGGTCCCCTCGTTCCTTGGAAGAGGCGGAGAGGTGGGTGTTTGTCATCTGCTGGTGGACTAACCGGAGAGAATTACAGTGCTTGCCTCGACGGGGAGGGATTGCATTGCAGCGGGAGCAAACGCTTGCCTCGGGGAGGGAGAAAGAAAGCCACAGCGGAGAATAAACAGAAGGGTAACCATGGTAACCAAGTCTTCTTCGCTGCTTTTGTGGCAGACTACAGCGCCACTTACAGGCCTGGCATATGTACTACAGCGTCTCCAGCGCTTTCGAACGGCAATGGTCGTGGCTGTCTCCTCCTGATTGGTGGAGTTGGCCCAATAGCCGTAGCGCCACCGTCCTGACGTCAGGACAGTGTTCAAATCTGGATCAGTTTTGATCAGATCCGTTGCAGCCCCTTTTTTAGAGATTTGGGTATGGAGGAAAATAGAGAGGGTTGTGTTTTCTGACACTTGGTGAGTTCCCTGGAACACCGGGGACACATATTCATGTATAAAAGACGTACAAAAGTGCATTTTGCATGATAGGTCCCCTTTAAGTAGGCTAATGTAAAACATAGCTACTAATTATTTTTCTACATTTTCAATGCAGGACTTTTACTTGTAACAGAGTATTCCTAAACGGTGGTATTTCTACTTTTACTCAAGTACAATATCTGAGTAGCCTACTTCTCCCACAGGGTTCGAGTTATCTGGGAGCCAATGGGAGCTGAGCTCTCATAAGGAGGGTCTGAGCTCCCACGGACGCAGTGAAATCATACATCTGTGGGGGTCGCTAATACATTACCAACAACCATTATTTTAATCACAAATAATGCATGTGTCAATGTAATGAGTATTATTTAAGTTAACGAGGTAAATAGGCTAAAAGAAAAACATGTTTTCCAAAAGAACTACGCATCTCTTGAATGACAATATGCCTGCACTGCACCTCCAAGGTGCGCAATACATTATTGCGCAATCTATGCCTGTGAGCGTGCTGCGCGAGCCGAGATGATGTGTGCCTGCAGCAGTCCAGAGGATGAATGATGCAGATTCCTCCTCAGCTATCAGTAATTGCAGGTATTGGAGTTGAAAAGGCAAACAGCAGTTTAGCAGTTAGGGAAAAGAGGTAAAGCCTTTAATGACGATGACATGGCAGTGCCGGGGGACAAGAAACAGGTTTCACTATAACTCATAACAAGATCAGTTCCTCTGATTATTCCGTTTGGTTTAACCACCACGCTCCATAAGCTTCCGCGTAGTGTCTTTGAGCACGCCTTCTTGTTTTGGTGGCTAATTCAAAAATAGGAACTGTGACGAAATGAAGCACATGCCTGCCCTGCAGCGAGGATGACACAGCAGGATCTCTACAACGGGACGTGTTCAGGGCATCTAGAAAGATTTAAATGGGGCTACTCGGATTATGGGCTACTCGGATAGTTCAGAGGATCATCGCATATTCAGTTGGTTTTTACCTTTGACATCAATGTTGCCATTTTTGTATTTAGATCGTCTTTCCTTTTTTAATATCTCTCAACTCATGATGGCAGCCGAATGCCATTCTCCAATGATCACAAACGCATTTGAAAATTTGAAAATGAGCGGGAAGTAACTTTGAATTACATCAAAATGTTCGATTATATGCGTATAAGCAGCGATGTTGTACATTTATTTAAATATTTATGTTGTTTTTGTTACTTTTATGTTGCTTTGTTCAGCGATGGACACGGAAGGATCTAATATCAAGTGACATGGAGGAAGGCTATTATGGATTTATTAATATTTAAAGTGAGGTGGGTTGTTTTCAAACATCTATATACTGTATAATGAAGTTATTATAGTCTGTAGGTGTGTTGTAGCCTATCATAGACCACGGGTAGGCAACCCTCGGTTATTGATCCTCTGCAGTGTAACGTTGACCCAAAATAACCTGGAAACAGCTATTTCTTATTTTATGTGGCACATTGGACCATTCTGAAGGAACGCCGTTTATCTTGAGTTTAGTGTAACATGCGTCACATTTCCCTGGGGGTAAATTAACAAATAAAAAGTGCATGTATAGATTAATTTGCTTTCTGCCAACCATGCTGGCTCACCTTGCCTGACCTATATTATGTATATATAAATATATATAAACCAGGGGTATCAAACTCAATTTCATCGCATTATGGTTGCACTCAAAGGGCCGGTTGTAACTATATAAATATATATGATTGATTCTATAATTTAGGGTGCATTTCACATCAACAAAACAGTACAAAGAAAGTGTTCTTTCTCAATAGAACAATCAGTGGTTCAAGTTAGTATATTCCTCAGTGTAACATATCCACTAGTTGCAAAGCTTAAACATTTTTTTTATTTTAAGGGAAAGGAAGTTTTCACTACTCAGTTTGTCAACTATGTTACGGACAAACTTGATGTCATTACAATCATTTGATTAAGTCCTGCACTTCAAGTAAAATCAAATTTGAAAGGCTCTTGAGTCTATTCTACCATATATCCAAAGATTTTTTAAAGTTTAAAAAAGAATTGTATTAAAGTTTTGTTTTTTCATGTGATATGTTCAGCACTGTCATTAAGTTTAGGGATATTTTGTATTATAAAACTACCATACAGGTAATTTTGATAGTTTTAAGAGATGTCATGTAAAACTCCAACCTGTGTAGATATACATTATACTATAAAGGATATCAGAGGCACTATTTTAGATATTTTAAATTTGAAAAAATGAGGTGCAACATAGTTGACAATGAAAGTCAAACATTTGACGCAAATAACATAGTTGACTGGACACATTATTAACCATCAGCACTATGTTCATTTCAAGGCAGAAGTGCAAAATTCCATTGATAATGATGTGTAATGACGTCTACATGTCATACAAATTGTCAACTAGGTTACCTGTCAACTAAGTTACTACAGTTATTACAGTACTGGGTAACTTAGTTGACAGGTAACCTAGTTGACAATTTCCCTATTTTGACCCATGATTTCAATGGTAGGCCTTGCCTGGATGACCACATGTCATTTTCTTGAACAGGTTAACATCACATTTGAACATATAATTGAATTAAAATCATTAAACAATTGTAAACCATAAACATTGTTGATGGTCAATTAATATACTCATTGACAATGTGCTATTATACATAAAATATTGTAAAAAATTAGAGGACAATCACCACAGTGTGTTCAAAATGTCTGCCAAAGAGGAACATGGTGGTGACATGGTATTGGGACAAACCATTTTTTAGTTAAAGGGGGGAGTTCTGTTAGTAACATAGTTGACAGAACTTTTGCGGACATTCATATATTAAGATATTTAAAAAATATGTTATTATTCTTTAGTATTTAGACTTTTGAAATAAATGAATAATTTTTTTTATTTACTTTAATGGTTTTTATTCATTATTTTGAAACCAAGACACCCTCAACTGAAAAACGGACATAGCAAAAACTGACAATTTAAGAACATCATGACACATTTCAAGCTAAATAAAGCATAGGATGCACATAATGTTTGTGTGATATTATAACATGCTTTCCAATAATAGGCAAAATATGATATTTTTGAAGAAAATAGTTAGAATAATTATAATTATCATCAATGGACATGGAATGTACCCTAAATTGTAGAATCACTCATATATATTTATATACATAGAATAATGTATTATATTACATTATTGCCTCTGCATTGGATTATTATCGGAGAGGGTAATAACTTCATAAATAACTACGTCTGAAAGCAGAAATAAGGGTAATAATTGCAAATCTCTTCAGTGTCACAAAATGAGATGCATTGTGGGACAACACAACGTGCTTCTGTAAATCGGCATGTGACCATATAATAAACGTATTATATTCTTTGCAAGCTCTTGCGGGCCACATAAAACGAAGTTGCGGGCAGGATTTGGCCCCCGGGCTTTGAGTTTGACACCCCTGATATGAACAGTAAATATGTAGATACATACATATTTACTGTTTATGCAACACTTGATGCATTTCTCTCTATTTTGCTCTAGAGAAAAAAAACGTTTTATATATTAAACTTACATGTGCTTATTACCATAACATTTCAAGATAAATATGACAGATTGTTCACAATATAGGTTTGAAAAGAAAAAAAGGTTGCAACTGACCCTAACCCAGGAAAGTTGCAACATGTTTAATGTACATTCAATTTCAATAATTAACTTTCACTTTATGACTCAATGAGCAAAGTGGTAATTTTTCAAATTAGGACAAAAACAGGACTTTTACAATAATATTATAGTTTTATTTATTTATACAATAATGTACATGTTTTCAGCTTCTCAGCTGATAGATATTCATCAGTTCAGCTTCTATATTTGACTTTACAGGTCAAACAATTGTTGACATGGCTGTTTGTTTGCATTTAAAATTGAGCACGAGAGAGGGAGAAAGAGTGACAGAAGACTGACCAATTTGAAACTGAATTAAATACATTCTGGCCCCATAGAAATATATGTCATATGCTACTTTCAATGCTTTAAAAAGTATGATTTACTTGCAGAGTGAGGGCAGTGCAGAGTTGAGGATAGTGCAGAGTGAGGACAGTGCATTTTGGGATGGTGTGATGTGAGGATGGTAAGGGGAGGTGCTTGCATTGCACTTGATATGAGCTGGAAAACCTCATGTTTCTTCACAGTTTGTCCGAAAGCTTGACTGCTTAAACCTTTTTAGAAAAATGTCTGACGAACTCTCCAGAGCTGCTGCCCGTGGAGAGATAGATAAAGTGTTGGAATTGCTGCAAAATGGAGCAGATGTTAATGGATTTAATCAATACAAAAGGACTGCACTGCAGGTTAGTAAACCTCTTTTAAATTGAGCCACTTGAATACATTTCATCATGGTATTTTGTTATAATGTACTGTTAAATGCATGCTGTTTGACATTATCTAACTATATTCAGTAAATTGTGTTATCATTTGGTAATAGTTATTAGCAGCTTAAACAGCTATATGAGGAAGACTGTGGACAGAGAGGTTTTGGGAATTTGTAGCAAATCTAAATAAACTCCTTAGATCAAAATTAACTTCTGACTTTTCTTTTGAGATTATTTTTACTTTATAGATTCATAAAAGGAAATAGTGATTTTGAGGATATAACAATGAGGTCCTGTCACCACCAGTTTCACAATGGAAAGTATTTCCGGTGTTTATTTCGTACATGATGCTAAAGAATAATCCCATTTCAGTTACCTATACTTATAAGGGGAAATGCATGTTACATTTGAAGGTGTAAAAGTTAATCAAAATGGAGAACATGGGGAACCCGGCCTGTAACAAGATGGCTGCTGAAAAAAAGTGCCATCTCACCTCTTGATCCTGTTCTTTTTTTTAATTTAATGTGTGTGCATGCCTCTGTATAAATTAAGCCTCTAAGTCTCTGTACTGTCCCTTTGTTATAATTATGTACATTTGTATGGACCCAAGGCAGAGGTAGAACAAACCACTCTTTACTTTTATAAACTTGTATCTGTATTTCCATTATATGTTAATTTCAGTGGTGGAAGAAGTACTCAGATAATTTACTGAGGTAAAAGTATAAATTCTACAGTGTAAAAGAGCTCCGTTACAATTAAAAGTCCTGCAATCATAATCTTACTTATGTAAAAGTACAAAAGTATTGGCATCCAAATATACTCAAATTTCCAAAAGGGAAAGTTTTTACATAATGTCCCATTTAAGAATAATATATATTACATTACTGGATTCATATTTTTTTAACAAGAATGTGGTCATCACAGCTGGTAAAATTGGAGGTATGCTTATAATTATTGGATGTATACTGCTGGATATTTTACCTATAACCATATAGATTTCTTAGTTTATTTATATTTTTTCAAATTAATGTAGTGGAGTAAAAAGTAGAAGTAGTGTGTGTGTGTGTCTCGGTGCATCTTAGTCATCGTCCCTTGGTAACAAAGAGGGGAAGTGAGGTCAGACTGAGATAATGGTCCCAGTGTTCAGGATGTATAATCATGACATGTAATAGCACCAACACATTTTTGTTGGAGGAAATGTGTGGGAGAAGTAATCAGATCTTGTACTTGAGTAAAAGTAGAAGTACTCAGATCTTGTACTTGAGTAAAAGTACCAGAGTGTAGGAATACTCTGTTACAGTAAAAGTCCTGCAATCAAAATGTTACTGGAGTAAAGTATAAGTATTAGCAAGTATTGGTTATGTTATGCAAATTGATCAATTTCCGAATAATATATATGATATGTTTTATAATGATTGATCATGAAAGTGTTCTCAAAGCTGGTAAAGGTGCAGCTAGTCTGAATGACTTTGTATACTGCAGGGTAGCTTGTGAATTTACTCCAGGTGAAACTAAAGTCTGATTTAACACTTGATTATATTTCACATCATTCATCCACATCTGTAAAGTAACTATATTAAATACATGTAGTGGAGTAAAAGTACACCATTTACCTCTGAACTGTAGTAGAGTAGAAGTATAAAGAAACATGAGATGGAAATACTCAAGTAAGTACCTCAATGTTAGTATAGTAAGTAACAAAACATTGAAATACTCTCGCAAACTTGTACTTAAGTACATTACTTGAGTTAATGTAAAGTCACTTCCCTCCTATGATACAAAATACTTAAGTAAAGTGCAAGTACTCCAACATCGAAGTAGCCTACCTAATGTAGCTACTTCACACCACTGGTTAATTTAATGGATAATTCATTATTGTGAGTCTCTCATCTGTGTGTCTGCAGGTGGTGAATTGGGCCTGTCCCGATGTGGTGGAGGCGCTTCTCTCCGCGGGGGCAGAATTCAACATCCGGGACCCTGTCCTGAGGCTCACCCCGCTGCACGACGCAGCGCGCGCCGGTTACATCGGTTCTGTGCAGAAGCTCGTGCTATACGGCGCAGATGTAAACCTGTGTGATGAGATCGGTAACCTTCCGCTGCACCTGGCCGCCATGGAGGGAAACCTGGAGGTGATCCGGCTGCTGATCGGTCGCACCGCAGACCCCCGGGCCCGCAGCGCGGAGGGATGCACCGCCGGGCAGCTGGCGCACCTGCACCAGAAGATAGAGGCGGCCAAATACATCGAGGATTATTTGAGGTCAAGTGAGTAGTGGTCTGCTTTGATGTCTGGCAATCAAATAATTAACTGTCCACAAATCAAAATCTGTCTTTTAACCCTCCTGTCGTGTTCGGGTCAAATCTGTCCGATTAACCACTTTCATCATTCATAGCCTAAATATTGTGTTTTGAACAGCAGGGTTAAAAAACGTATAATTTTTAAAGATATATTTGAAATGTTCTATAGGCCTATATTTTTATTTTGTATGCCGAAAAATAGCAGGCTTTATCAAGCTGTGGTCTTATTCTGAAATGAGAAGAAGCCTTGCATGTTTTTCCGAAAATGTCAGTTTCTCCATCACAACAAAAAATGTGCCCCCAAAAAAGGCTGAGAGTACTCCGTATTTTATAACGGTTTAAGGTGTTAGAGAGCGGCCGATATAAGCCTCGGTTGATGGTGCATATTGGCTCTTAATTTAAAAACTACATTCAAACTAAAGGCCCAAAAGTGCAGAGATTTCGTTAAATCTGTCACTCCAAAATTGAAACGGTGAAAAGGTAAACATGAGGCTACTGAATGTGTCAGAAGTATCAGCATTAGTTGTTGTAGGCCTATATGGTTTCTGAATTAACAGCTATAGCCCGTTTAAAGGCCTATGAGGTGTAGCCTGAAGGGGCAGCAGATACTGTGTGTGAGCACGGGTTTAGACAATAAGAAATATAGTTTCATGTTTTGGGGATTTAAGCACATTTTGGTTAGCGCAATGGCATGTAAATTAGCCCAACCATGCTAAACATATCATATGAATACAATATTGAAATGAGAATAAAACAAACGAATATATATATCCTAACTGCCAAAAGGGTGTTTCTTTTAACTTTTAAAACAAATTGAGGAATAACGCTATGTAGGCCTATCAGCTGCCGAATTGATAAGCGGGGACACATAATTAAGTACACGTCGATGATAGTGTTACACGGAGTTTAAAAACTGTCCCATGACTGAAAATCTCACAAAACCGAGCGTTTTTTAAAGCGTGTCTGGTGCCCCCCCCCCCCCCCCCCCCTACCATAATAATGGACTGTTCCGCGAACACATCGAATCAACGGCACAATAATGTTGATATAATGACAATAATTAGCTAGTGACAATACTTGTAAAACAGAATAACAAAGTCACGTAGACGTTCTGCAGGCTTTGGGATGTTCCCCAAACATATATTCACTTTTTGTCATTAGGCTTTGTAAATAATTAAATGTCAAACGAGAGGCTAATATTTGCTGTACGGAGGAGCCAAAAAGGAGCACGTTTTATTAACGTTTTTAAATCATTGTTATTGGAACAAATAGCGTCGTTTCTTGAATGACACTGAATCAAACGGCAGTGTTTAAACAGCATCGACAACACTTTCATTTTCGATGGCAGGTTTTCGAAGAGGCTAAAACCCTTTTTTTATCTCCACAGACCACAGCCTCGATGTGACTTAAGGCCTATAGGCTACCTGACCTATTTTTTAACAAGGGTAATCAGTTATTTGATGCATACGAGTCAAACATGAAAGCGTGACCATAACACTCTAATGATGATTCATTAAATTCAAACATCATTTCATTGTGACACCATGAGCGTTAAACGGGATGATATTACAACATGACAGTCAGTCTGGAAATCAGTAGGCCGCCCACACAGGGATTATAAAGTTTAGTTAAAACGGAACAAAACCCAACTTTATTAATTATAAATACACACGTTTAACTCCAACTGTGTGTGTCCCGGTGTGTGTGCGTGTTGTCTTTTTACCGGCTGTTAACCCTTGTATGGTGTTCATATGTGTGTTACTCAGCCAGTGTTCGTGGGTCTGGTGGACCCGCTGCCTTTTTGGGTTTCAATCATAGACTGTATGTGATTCTACAATTTAGGGTACATTCCATGTCCATTGATGTCCATTGATGATAATTATAATTATTCTAAGTATTTTCTTCAAAAATATCATATTTTGCCTATTATTGGAAAGCATGTTATAATATCACACAAACATTATGTGTATCCTATGCTTTATTTAGCTTGAAATGTGTCATGATGTTCTTAAATTGTCAATTTTTGCTCTGTCCGTTTTTCAGTTGAGGGTGTCTTGGTTTCAAAATAATGAATAAAAACCATTAAAGTAAATAAAAAAAAGTATTCATTTATTTTAAAAGTCTAAATACTAAAGAATAATAACATCTTTTTAATTGATTTCCTCCTTTAAATAATTTAAATATCTTAATATATGAATGTCCGCAAAAGTTCTGTCAACTATGTTACTAAGAGAACTCCCCCCTTTAACTCAAAAATGGTTTGTCCCAATACCATGTCACCAGCATCACATGATGCCATGTTCCTCTTTGGCAGACATTTTGAACACACTGTGGTGATTGTCCTCTAATTTTTTACAATATTTTATGTATAATAGCACATGGTCAATTAATATACTCATTGACAATCAACAATGTTACGTACATTGTTATGGTTTACAATTGTTTAATGATTTTAATTCAATTATATGTTCAAATGTGATGTTAACCTGTTCAAGAAAATGACATGTGGTCATCCAAGCAAGGCCTACCATTGAAATGATGGGTCAAAATAGGGAAATTGTCAACTAAGTTACCTGTCAACTGAGTTACCCAGTACTGTAATAACTGTAGTAACTTAGTTGACAGGTAACCTAGTTGACAATTTGTATGACATGTAGACGTCATTACACATCATTATCAATGGAATTTTGCACTTCTGCCTTGAAATTAACATAGTGCTGATGGTTAATAATGTGTCCAGTCAACTATTTTATTTGCGTCAAATGTTTGACTTTCATTGTCAACTATGTTGCACCTCATTTTTTCAAATTTAAAATATCTAAAATAGTGCTTCTGATATCCTTTATAGTATAATGTATATCTACACAGGTTGGAGTTTTACATGACATCTCTTAAAACTATCAAAATGACCTGTATGGTAGTTTTATAATACAAAATATCCCTAAACTTAATGACAGTGCTGAACATATCACATGAAAAAACAAAACTTTAATACAATTATTTTTTAAACTTTAAAAAATCTTTGGATATATGGTAGAATAGACTCAAGAGCCTTTCAAATGTGATTTTACTTGAAGTGCAGGACTTAATCAAATGATTGTAATGACATCAAGTTTGTCCGTAACATAGTTGACAAACTGAGTAGTGAAAACATCCTTTCCCTTAAAATAAAATAAAAAAATGTTTAAGCTTTGCAACTAGTGGATATGTTACACTGAAGAATATACTAACTTGAACCACTGATTGTTCTATTGAGAAAGAACACTTTCTTTGTACTGTTTTGTTGATGTGAAATGCACCCTAAATTATAGAATCACAAGGTTTCAATTCAACACAATCAAATTATTTTATGTTAAAATACTCAACAGATGTTTACTTCATCTCAATTACAAGCAGTGGCGGCGCCAGGGTATTTTTGTTGGGTAATCTATGGTAGGGCTAACCCATACAGTGGTGGTGCTCAAGTCAGTATTTGCAATTTAATTACATACACGCTATATCGCACCCCGTGAAACAGTAATGCCACACGTGAGGTTTAGATTATTTCCCTTTCTCAATCAAAATGGAACTGTATGAAATAAAACGGCACATTTGTCTTATAGTAAATAAAAAGGGATCACTGTGAACGGACGTATGATAGTACACGTTGAAGATCCAATAGGGATACTGAATGGCGGTTCCGATTGATCTCAATCAGTAAGGCATGACGCAGACCCAACGTTGCGTTGCTCTGATTGGCTGTAGGTCTATTCAAATTGCATTCGGAGGCATTTTGATCTGACCGCGGCCGCGCTGATATTATAACGCCAGAGAATTTCCACACCTTTAGTGTATAAAACTCCCCCACTACTTAGACTATTCCTTGCACCCCTCTTCTATAAGCCCGAATGGTCTCAACCATATTGCATCAGTAACGTGCACTTGTTGTTACAGCAGGATCAGTTTGTGTGTTGTGGACACGACCCGTATATTTTCGCAATCCGTGTTCTCAACATTTTGCATTTAGCTTATTATTTAATTGAATTTGCTTACTTTAACATCACTTTTCATGGTGGGGCTAAGGTGGGGCTAAGCCATTTCTTGGTATGGCTGTAGCCTACCCCAGCCATACCCTGGCGCCGCCACTGATTACAAGCAATATAAACAGCATATATGGTTAATATTTGCCCTTTTACATTTGTTAGATCACATTAATGAATTAAAGTGCTACTTGTTTTTTTGCCCGCTGACCGGCTGGTCCTGTGGCTCGTCTTTTTTTTGTAACTAGCTGATGCTCAATCTCATCCTCTTTTTCAAAGTCACTGTCAGACTCAGAATTCTCAGAAATGTGATCTTCACATTCTGAAACCTCTTCCTCTTCATCTACATCAGGGGTTTTCAAAGTGTGGGAAGGTGAGCCTCCCCTCAGAGAACATAAGAACAGCCGCACCATATTATTGTTGTTGCTATAATGCAGGGGTATTATTATCCAGTGGAATGCCCTTACCTACTGGCCTAGTTAAATCAAAGTGGTTACTTATTTTTGTCTGGGCAGTGTAGTTTTACACACCATCTTATTTGACTTTCTCAGGGCAGACCCCCACAAAGAAAAAAATATATGTACACACGTAAGGTCATCATCTTAACAGTTTTTTATGCTCGAGTCATCGGTGAGCAGAGCATCAAGTTGGCATGCCTATTACAGCTGAATGCGGCGATTACCATCTTGTTCAGCAAAACGCCTCACAAACGTATTAAGATCCAAAGCTTTAGTGCGTTTTGATTCAATGCTGAGTACAGCCAAACTTGACAGTCTCTTCTCTGTCATTGTAGACCGCAAATACCTTATTCCTTCCGTGTACTTGGGTCCGAATGCTTCTCGTTTTCTGCCGCCCGTTCAATTGAAATCGCCGCCAATCACATTTCCTCGCTCGCGCCAGGGTTACAAGGCTCGCGTCTTGTGCTGCATTCACTTGCACTCGGACATC